TACTTAAAATGCCTTTTTTAAAGAGTAGTACAACTGTAAGGCAAAGTTAAAAGAAATGAGAAAAAAAAATAGAAATAACAACAAACTGTTTCTCATCCCTGCCAGCTTCATTTTTTGAGGTAGCCTCTAAACCTGTGATGAGTTGGTCTTTATTCCTTTTTTCTTTGGAAGGTGATAGGAGTCATCATCTGGACGTTTATCGTATCCTAATATAATGATACCTTTGAGGCGTGGTTTGGCTGCACCATGGTTAGATGCTTAGTTAATTTTGCAATTGGCCCAGCTGTCAAACTCAATCAAGATCCACACAAATCACAATTTGGTTTGTCTCAAGAAAAGTTCGAAGTCTGGCCTCAGCCTTCACTTGTCTACTGCATGGGATGAAGTTGAGCTTTTTTTGTAAGTCAAGGAATGGGAAAGGACAACATTCTCTATACCTCTCTTGTTATTCTCTTTCCCAGCCAATTCTGCGAGGTGCATACATTGTAACAAATCCCAGCTGGGGTCTTTTCCTCAGGGATTCTGCTATAAAATTGCAAAAGCAATCCAATCCCCCATCCTGGGCTAAAAATTGGCAGCAAATGTCAACAAATCCAGAGGACCATGCCCACATATGTCCCCAGGGAGAATTAACCCCCCACCCCCACCTCTGGGATGACCATTGATAAGTGCATAATCATTAAACTTCAGAGTCATTTTGCCAAAGGTGCTCCATCAGTATAGTAGCCTTTTCTTCTGTTACGACTACCGTAAGATACTTAAGTAAAAACTGCCAACCAGAAAGTCAGTTTTGGATCCTGCGAAGACAACAAGAATGTATCATACAATTTCTTCTGTCACGTCATTTGCTCTTGAAGATGCATGGGTGCTGTCCCAATGAAGTCTGTCTTGAGAACCTAACTATCTACCTTGCCTCTTTGAGGTCCATTGCGCATAAGGCCTCTGTCTTGAGAAAGTTGGCAATGAATTGTTATTTTTTTTATTTTGTCTTTTTTGTGACTGAAACCATTTTTTAAGCACAGGATTATTATTCTCTGTTCTATAGCTTGCTCAGTGAAAGATGCCAATCCATCCATGGAATATCCCAAATCTTCCAGAGAGATTTTCTTTGAGCATCAAAACAGATGACGTAACTGGCAGCACATTGTCGGGAAATAAGGTAAAGGAATATATTGCAAACATGAATAAAAAGCACTTAGTTAATTCTATGCTAAAACTCAACCCTTCATTTAAGCCCATATCTACATATAAATTTTCCAGACTTGAGTCGACCGTTGGTAGACAGTCAATTTCCTTGAAGAATTAGTTGAGAGAATTTGATAAAAGATCAAACCATTTTCCCCTAGGTGATCACTTTATTAATATTATTCTAATTACCACCTAAGTTATCTTTCAATTGATTATTATTTGGAAAAAAATTGATGTTGGTCACTAGTGGACCTAAAGGGTTAATAATTGTAATAGTTGACACTACAGCTGCCCATGCTCTATATGTTGTCGGTCAATTAATAGTATTCTTGGTCGTTGTGTAGCTCTTTGAAATATACATTGTACTGATTCCTAATGACGATTTTCACACATATTCCATACATATAATGACCTCACTCTTGTCTAATAAGTAGTATTTAATTATAACCATAGCGACTGATATTATGTACTTCAAATACGTTTATGACACCCTGAGGTACACTACTCCATTTCATTGATCAATGCAGTTTTTATAGGTTATAGGTTTTTTATAGGTTGATTCTCAATTTTAATATTATTTATGATCATGAATAGTTATGGTTGAGAATTAACCTCGGTTATAAAACCTTTTTTAACCTGAATTTCATTTTGACCTACAACATGTACGTGCCAGTTTTGTCATCATTGTTTTATTTTGTGCCATGTAATAGGTACGGAAGTTGGAGTTTCTTCTGGCTGATGCACTGAACAATGAGTGTGACACCATTTTTACATGT